CAGTCCAACAGTAGTCACAAAAATATTTGTTTTATAAAAAGCAATAATTTGTAAAACAAATCAATTGAATATCTTTTATAAAATAGTTTTCAAATTGAATAAAATTGAAAGAAATGTTTGTTCAACACAAATCTATCAAACTTTCCATTCAACCATATATTCAATTGATTCAATTGCCATCACTTGTCCATTCATTCATATGCTTGTTGTAAGCAATCAATTGTTTCACTCAAAGGCCAGTTATACCGGTATTAATAGTATAGTAAACTTTTGTATGTGATGTACACTTGCGAGCACTGGTTGTCATGTATTTTATAATACAAATGCATTGCAAGGGATGGCACNTCAATTGCCATCACTTGTCCATTCATTCATATGCTTGTTGTAAGCAATCAATTGTTTCACTCAAAGGCCAGTTATACCGGTATTAATAGTATAGTAAACTTTTGTATGTGATGTACACTTGCGAGCACTGGTTGTCATGTATTTTATAATACAAATGCATTGCAAGGGATGGCACTCCTATAGCCTGTTAGTCACACTTATATTCGACTAAACACTTTGGGTTAATGTATGGGCTGAACACCATACCCGACCATCAGGTCAGCATTATTATGTTAATTTTGTGAGCTTGGATTCAGCTAGATAAAATACATGGTATATCAGTATGATTTTCATATATATCTCTAATATATTTCCGTTGTACAGTATATATATTTGTAAGTACTTTAGATAGGATAGACATAACCCGGGTATTCGGGAGCTGTACTATATATATGTGCGGCGCGTGTCTAGTGTTAAGGTATTTGCGATACAATATTAGAGTATTAGAGAGTTTATAAGGTTTTAGTGAATCAATGGTTGCATTCAATGATTACTTTCTTTAGTGACACTCCTATTAAACAGTGAAACATAACATTTATAATGAAAATAATGCTTCAAATATTAGATTATATGGTGTTTAGTATTCATTAATTGTTTGCTTTTGTTTCGTATTTGTTTGGTATGTGTTCACCAAATTGAGTGTAACTTGTATTGAGCCCAACGTAGCCGTCAAACAGTATTTATTGAATAGCTATCAATTGCAGCCAATATTTACCAAAACAATAGTATTTCAATGCATTCATTGACACTATTTTCACTATAAATACCATTAGTTTGCGAAACACTTTCGTTTGCCACCAATTGATCCGATTATCCATTCATTGATTGCTGTGTTTGTCGCCAAACCTATGTCTCACTCAACGGTCTCTTAGTCTGCGAACTGAGTGTCCAATCGTTGTTGAGTTTTCTCGCATTTGAACCCATTTTTGATGAATTGATTTGTGAAGAGATTTGAAGTGTTTGTTGATATCGTGATGAAGTGACTATGAGTTCAACCGTTAATACAAACGATAATCAAATAAACTGTTTGTCTGTGAAGTATGGCTCAAATGTGACCACAAATGAGACATCGATTGTGTCGACCAATGGAGTGTCCAATGCCTGCAATCCATCACATAATAAGTCACCGCAGAAGACAAACAGCAGCCGATTCTCATCGTTGGCTAAGATTTTTAAGCCGTGGAAGTGGAAGAGGAAGAAGAAGAGCGAGAAGTTTGAGAACACTTCCAAAGGTTGGTATCCATTCCTCCCTGTCTTTGATCTTATGTATCATTTGAGTGATTCATTCATTTCTGTTGAATAGCTTTGGAGAGAAGAATATCAATGCGATCGACAAAAGCAGATCTCATCCAAAGAGGAGTACTTTTACCCGAAAAAAGTATTTCATTTGTTTGACTCATACGTGAAATGTATTTCTCAATGATTTCTTGTATTTCAGACGAAACGACAAAAAGCGGATTCATTTCCAATATGAATGGTGTGAAAGACTATGATTTGGCGAACAAAGAAGTGGTTCAGTCATTGCCCACAACTGTGACCATCACTTCAGGAATTACTTGTCAAACGTCTAACTCAACCACAGATAAGGTGTCGACGACATCCAAGTCTGTGATTCCCATATCATTGAGCGGTTATCTGAAGGGAGCGATCGCCACACCTTTGGTGGCCATCGCGAAGAATAACCATCACTTCGGCAACTCATCCATCAATAAGAAGAGGACATCTTTAGACAACAAGACCGAGAAGAGTGACTCGAGTCCTGTGGTTAGCGATAACCACAGACTTAATAAGAGTGACGACAATAGTATTCAATCAAACACTAAAGGTTTGCATTGAGTTTATCTCAAAATATTTGATAAGATTTCGAAAACATTTAAGAAATTATATAAAATATTTGTGTTTTGTGTGTCTTATGTCTCAATAGAAACAATACATATAATAACGTCAACCACTGGTTCGTCGATAATATCGGACAACTCGTCAACGAATAGTGAATTGAAAAACAATAATAAAGTGAACATAAACTCTATAAATAGTATGAATAATAGTGTAAATAAATGTGTTATGCAATTAAACTCAAATACAAACCACGCGATGATTAATGAGCTTCAGTTCAGTGACATCGGACCCATACCTCCGCCCCGAATGTTCTCGGATTCCGTTCACAACACATACAACACTAATAACATTAGCTTTGATTCCTCTTTTCATAACTACAATGAAGACAACGACTCGTCTATGGATTTGAGTCATAATGATATCAATTATCCACAAGAAGTGCCACAAATGTCTTCTCTGCCAATATGTGTAATTCATAGTCATTTGGTGAACGAACCCATCACTACAGCCGAGGAGGTGCCCACCAAAGAGCCACAGCTGTCGGCCATCCCTAAGAAAAGTGCCCTCAAGAAGGCCAGAATCACCGCCAATGACACTGACAGCCAAATGGCTAATCAACCGCAGGTGTCGGCGCCCAATCACACCAACACTTCCAACACAGACACCTCTTCTCCCGTACTCATCAGACCTCAACCCACGCCTCGATATACATATAATTCCATACAACAGATGCCGATGCAGATTGTGGTCACATCTGCACAACACAACAACTCACCCCTCACTGACCAAAACCACACCTTTAGGTAAGATTTCTGTCATTTTTCAAATACCGCTAATAATAATATAGTAAATAAGTAGTTTAATACAATATACTGTAATGTGATTTACTAATAATCAAGTTATAACGTATACGAAAATGTGCGATAAATTTGATCTAAATTAATTTTTTGCTAATCAGATAATATATTATTTAATATGTTTTATGCAATTAGATATTAAATTAGATTTCAGACAAAAGTTTATGTCAAATATCAGTCATAATCGTATGAGTCATTTCTGAAATGTTTTTTGAAACCTTCAATAACATTAGTTTTTACTGCGAAAAACATTTGTAAAACATATCAATTGAAACAAATATTTATTGCATAACACTTTCCGTCAAATGATTTTACATTTATCGCTTGACTTCATTCATAAAATTGAAATACAGTATTATATACATTACACAATTGAATGAAATCTATATCTTTTATCTTTTATTCGTCAATACAGTAATGAATCAATTGATTTATTGCAAACATAACTAATAAATCAAAGTTTAAATATTAGTTTTTATTTTTAGTAAAATGATTTGTTGTACTGTATATACAAACAAATGATAGGTTTATGAGATAAATCAATGAGTAAATGACGGGATAGATTCACTATTAATTGTTTAATTGCATTAAATTTGATTAAACACATTATAAAATAAATATTCTGTACTTGTACTTTGAACATTTTTATAAAGGTATTTTCATAGAATTTTCCAATATAACACTTTTAGGAATTACACTATATCTTTAACAAATAGTTACTAAATAGTTAGTGAATGAATATTCATGAGAATTACTATACATTTAGGAAATGTCCACTTTATCCCACTCTAACCCTAATGAGTGCAACAATTGTAATCGCATTCATATTATTTTATTGTCTGTACTATATATATTGTACACAATAATTATTATACTGATTAATGAATTGCAAATATGTGCCTGTACAGTTCTGTCATGTCAAAAGTGCATCACTTCAATAACTGCGGAAATTTTGGTGCAGAAAACAAAGAGAATCAGCCCTTCAATCAACTAAACCATAGGACTAAACCTCCCATTGAATGTCCGCCAAGAAAGAAGCCGTCAATTGTTTTAAGCCACGAATCAGATTCAGACGATGACAGCGAAAGCAATATCAATTGGAGAGACTATTACGGCGACGATGAACAAGGTTTGTACTGATCACTCGTTTCAGTAGATTTCATATCATTTAGTATATGATCACATAAACATCCATACACTGTATTACATGAATACATTTCTCTCGTATTTCATTCAATACATTTACATGAAATCACAAAATACAGTAACTTTAAATTACAATGCATGTAAATTGAGGTATTTTCTAAAACTCATTAAATTTTCTTAATCATTATAGATAGACTCATAGTAAATAATGGATTTAAAAATTCCATTTACGGTATTATCATACAAACTATATTGATTAAAATAATTAAAAATGTAATTTAAGGGATAGTTAATAACTTTTCAGAACTTTTTTATTGAACTTTTTTCTATTAGAGAAAGGATTTGATTGTAAAATTGATACATTATTAGTATGATATTGAATTTGATAGTAATGTATCGTAATATGAGATGATTGTTATAATACCTGTAGTGAAAGAATGAAATGAAATATAGATAGAAATGAAATGAAAATGATGTGTAAATTAATTGTGGGCCGATTTACAGGACGGGTCGCCGCAAAGATTGCCCGAAAGGATTCATTGGCCATAAAATTGGCGCAAAGGCCTGACAAACAGGAATTGATTGACAAAAACATAATTCCTGTTATGTCTGAAAATGAAAGACTAGACACTCGAGAGGCGATCGGAACGAAGCTCTCGCGACGGCTAAGCCTTAGGCCAACGGCTGAAGAGTTGGAACAAAGAAATATTCTGAAACAACAGACGGCCGACGAAATGCTTATGGATAAGGAAAAGAAGAAACAAACTCTCATTAGAAAAGTATTCACATTTCTCTCACATTTGTTACCATTCTCTAGAAAATTATACTCATTTCTAACCAAACTTTTAGTTGAGTTTTCGACCGACGATTGAAGAGCTGAAGGAAAGGAAAATCATTCGTTTCAATGATTACGTGGAAGTGACTCAAGCCAACGACTACGACAGGAGGGCTGACAAGCCATGGACTAGACTCACACCTAAAGATAAGGTCCGTAGTGTTGGCTTCCATAGTGTTTGCTATCATTGGTCTAAACTATGAATCTGTCATTATTTGCCACATATAGGCAGCCATTCGTAAAGAATTGAATGATTTTAAAAGTATGGAAATGGAGGTCCATGAGGACAGTCGTCATATGACTCGGTTTGTTGTCTACTATTGACTCGTATTATAGAATATCTTTGTCACTCAATATCTCTATTCAAACGTTTAGGTTTCACAGACCTTAGGAATTGATTGGATTGCATAATAAATTTGATGTAAAATACTGTGATTTTCAATGCATTGCACACTATTTGACGGCAACTGTAAGACTAAAATACAAAATCTCTTCGTGTCGTAAGATTTTTAATTGAAACAAATGAAGTTTTTATTTGATTTCATTTTTTAACAAATGTTTTCGCGATATTTGTTTTTGATAACGTTTGGCTCAAAATCTCAAACATTTTATACAATAATATCACAATTTGTAAAATATATTACATTTATATATACAACATATTATTACAGTTGTTATTATTATTATTATTACAGTATATATATTCCCGTCTTTTGATAATTCCATAACTGTTTCGATTGTTTTTTATTTCGATAGCAATAAAATCTAATTAATTGCGAAAAACTAACAAATTTTAACATACCTATCATTTTGAACACAAACTGTTTATCGAGGTTTATTTAATACATTCCCCCAAAAAATTACATTTGTTTCTGTTGTAAAATATATGAATTCATAAAATAATTACTAGAAAGACTAGTAATATTTGTTTATAGTATTAAAATAATTATCAATTAATTAATGTTCGCTTTTATAATTTCTTAAAACTTCTTAAACAAATTGTAAAAAAGAAAAAATGTTTTAAAATATGATTTTTATAATTAATAAAACAATTTGAGAACTTTTAATGATTTGCTTTAATTGTAATCATTTATCATTTGGATTATCATTTAATTGATAATGGCTTAAACAAAAACTATGGCAACAGAGTAATGAGATAATTGGTATTTGACTTGAGCTTTTAAATTGACTGAATTAGACTATTATGGTCATTTTAGATTCATCAAGTACACATTTTAGATACATTTTGCATTAACTATAATCACATTATTTAATACTTTTATTCATTCAATGAACGGATCAACGAAACAACTATTTAGTGATATCGATGAGTACTTTATCATCGTTTCGATCACTTTTGATCTCAAGATTTCGGTGATCATTGCTTTTAATAGTGAGTGTTTGAAACAAAGTGTTGTTTAAGTAATCATTGGATTGTCTTTTAGTGATTCTGTCGACAACTAAAACAATACGAATGGTAAGCACTGAAGAGAAGAGTATTTTATTGATTTTGTCGACAATGTGTGGGTATATGTTGGATGAGTGGCTGTAAATGACCACTAATTGAAGTCTGCCATTGAATGCCACCTCCAGTGCCAATTGAGTGGACAGGGAGGCCAGGAGTTGACTCTCGTCTATACACTGATAAATGTCCACATCTTTCAGTTGACGCTTACTTGTGATCACATCCGAGAAATGTCTTAAATTCAATTCATCCATACATTCAAACACTATGACAATTGGATTGCTTTCGAGTGACACTTGTGGTGAACTGTTCCCACCGGACATGTCTTCATGTGAAGTCTTAACCATACGTTTGTAGTATTTATTGAAAATATTTTTGCAAATATAATGAATGAAAGCGTTTGTGTCAATCAAAGTGCTGTCAAACGTATTGATCACATAAACCATACTTTGATCCAAAAGCTGGTCATCGATGGCATCAACAGCTGGTCTCAATCTGCACATCAAATCCAAACCATTCTCTGTATTCAAAGTCATTGTCTCTCATATGAGTTGTCAATTGGTTTGGCGTTCACTGCGAGACACAAATCAAATGCAATGAATGTGTGTTTCAATGGATTCACAAAACACTAAACACTCATCACTTGACCACAAGTTTATGAAAACATTTCAAACAAAATATAAACAAAACATAAATCACTGAAAAAACACTTATAAATAGAGGTGTTTTCCATTCAATTCACATAAGCCTTGAAACTGATATTGAAACTAATTGAATCACTTATATGAGCATGTAACTATCAATAAAAATACATATCCATTAGATTACAAGACAAATAAATTATGATTAACTAAATATGGTTTGAAAATAGCGTTCAATACGAGGGTCGGGAAACATATTGATAGTAGTGGTGAACACCTCTACCAATGGGTTGTCAAATGCGAGAAGTTTTGAAAAGTGTGTAAAAGTGTATCAAATATGGAGTTTAAGGCAAATAATCATTAAAAGCCTTAGTTTTGCATTCATTTCAGTCATCCGTTCATTCAATTTGATTATTGTTTCAAAACTAGTCTTAAGTTGAAAGCCAACCATTGAATGAAATTATGGGTCAAAATGTATTACTAATTGTTTTGCACACAAACCACTCATTCAATGCATTCACACATTCATAGTAAGGCTGAACTCATGTCTCATTTATGGCTCGACTTTCACTCAATTTATTTGTTTTTGTTTTGATGTTTGAGTTTCCGATGAAATTGTGATTCAAATGATTAGTGCATTGCGAGTGAAATAGTCGTTCAACTCATGCATCGATCACTCATTGAATGCAATATTATTAACGATAAGTGTTTCGCACTTCCCTTCAGATTATGATATCATTAGTGATAATATTTGGGATAATAGTTGACATTTGAGTGAATCCAAGACAAGACCAGACAAACCTATTCTCGTGAGTGAAGTGACGCTTCTCCACACGTGAAGACGATGTGGAATATGATGTGTGATGTGATGCCCACCATCTCGGAGGACAGTATCTCCCAAAGGAGTGGTCAGTTCACGGGAGATGAGGCCAACTTCGAGCAGCTGATGGTCAACATGTTGGACGAGAGGGACAAACTGATGGAGACGTTGAGGGAGACTCAGGAGCACCTGAACGACACTCAGACCAAACTGACGGACATCGAGAAGGAGAGGGACTCTCTTCAGCGACAACTCGTCTCACATATGCCTCAAGTAATCCATTACTCATTCATTTGCCGCGAGTTTGCATGTATTGTATTGTCTTATTGTGTCCACAACTCAGGAGTTCGCGAGTTTGACGCGAGAGTTGAATCAATTGAGAGAACATATCCTCGAAAAGGACGAAGAGATCCAAGAATTGAAAGCCGAACGCAATAATACTCGGGTATGACTTCACACCAGACATCACTTGAATGCATGGCATTAATGGTGTGTTGATGTCTATTTCAGTTACTTCTGGAGCACTTGGAGTGTCTGGTGTCCCGACACGAGCGCTCACTGAGGATGACTGTCGTCAAACGACAGGCGCAGTCACCGGCGGGCGTCTCATCCGAAGTGGAAGTACTAAAAGCTCTGAAGTCTCTCTTCGAACACCACAAGGCTTTGGATGAGAAGGTTAGGGAAAGACTGAGAGTGTCTTTGGATAAAATCAGTGCTCTTGAGGACGATTTGGCCAAAGCCAGCGAAGACTTGATTAAATCGAAACAAACTCAACAACAGCTCCAAACCATATCACAAATACAAGAGTCTTCGATACAAATGAACGGACAGTTGAGTTCCGGCGCCTTAGATGACGACCACAAGAGTGAAGAGATTCAGACTTTAGTGGAGAAACAAACGAATGAATTAATCAATTCTCGCAACAAATTACAAGAATTGACGAATAAATTGAAAGAATACGAGGAAATGATTGTAAAGACAGACAAAGATTGTGCACAACTGAGGGAAGACAACGTGAAACTGAATTGTGATCTCAAGGAGAATAAGGCACAGAAGGAGGACCAGGAGGAGAGGATCACCACTCTTGAGAAGAGGTACCTAAACGCTCAAAGGGAGAGCACATCCCTTCACGACTTGAACGAGAAGTTAGAGCACGAGTTGATGTCAAAAGAGGCGCAGTTCAAGCTCTCGGAGGACAAAATCAGGGCTCTGACGGAACGGCTAGAGTTGGCCGACCAGAAGATCGCACAGTTTCTGCGCAAACAGGAGACCCTCACAGACGGCACCGAAACCAGTGATTACGAGATGGACGACGACAGGAAACTGTCTCTCGAGGAACGCATATCCCGTTTGGAACAGCAGTTGGAGGAGAAGGCGAACGAACTGTTGAGAGCCCGACAGAGGGAACGCATGAATGAGGACCACAATCAACGTCTGTCGGCAACTGTTGACAAACTGTTGGCCGAATCCAACGAAAGACTTCAATTGCATCTCAAGGAGCGGATGTCTGCCTTAGAAGAAAAGAATCAAATGTCTCAAGAATTGTCGAGAATTCACAAACTATTAGACGACACACAGGGAGAGAAGGGAAAGATTTTGCAGGAATTGACGAAAATGAGAGTCGAAATGCAAACCATTAGTCAAAACAATATAAATAGCGGCGGTTTAGGCGCCGTTTCTGTGCCACGAAATCCGAGAATGATATCTCAAGAGAGCAATAAGAATAAGCAGCTCTTCGATCAGGACTGGGATAAGATTGAGCCCCGAGTTGTGGCTAATGTGAATCAGGCCTTCGATGTGAGCGACACTGAGTGCAGTCAGACCGATGACAACGAGAGTATATTCGATACGATGGAAATGCTGTCGCCCTCGGGTCACACCGACGCTCAAACGCTTGCGCTTATGCTTCAGCAACAGTTGGATGCCATCAACAACGAGATCCGACTCATTCAGGAGGAGAAACACAATACTGAACAGCGCGCTGAAGAGCTAGAGTCGCAGGTGGGCTCTATTGACTCCATGAGTCTCTTGACCCGCTCTTTCGAAAGAGGAATATCTCCGCCACAAAGCGGACGATCCACTCCTAAGTCTAGGATCAGTCCTTCGCGCGAATACTTAAACCAATTTTATAGCGTATGTATTGAATGAGTTTTGTTGCGGACAACTGTTTATTTGTTTTAATCACACGATAGACGGGTTCGTGTCCTTCCGCTCTGTCGCAAACTGTAGGCGCTTCCCATATATACTCACAATATTCTCCCTCTGCTAGTCATCAATCGGAGAGTTTAGCTTCAAATGCACACGTAATCCATAATTTGATGATTTCTGTGAACTCTTTCCAACTAAATGTTATACTTATAGGAAATGAGTTCAGATGCAAGTCCTCCCACACCTCGCGCTTTACGACTGCAACGAGTGGCGCAGGCATTGAATGATAATAAAGGTGTTCAACAGAAGGCCAATATGTCGTGGGCCTCGAGTGTACCCCCAGATGTTTTGCCGAGGTTTGGGCGATAGCACGAGTTATACAGTATTTAGGTTTTACTAAATGTATTCATATATAGGTCTTCATTGTACGGACCGCCGCCTCCGACCAGTAATTCTTTGGATGAATCGGTTTTAAGCCATCAGTTGCTTCAGACTGGTTCCGCAAATTCATCGATGGATTCCTTAAATAAGCAATTAATAGCTAATCACTCACAACATCAACACTACTCGCAACTAATGTCTTCTCAACAAAACCCTAAAAAGAAAGGCATTAAGTCTTCACTCGTGAGTCGACTGTTTTCGAGTCCAAAGCGCGAAAAACTGAAGAGCGATCGCATTATTGGAAATCCTATTTATGCTAATTATATGGAAAGTGATTACATTTCATTACCCGATGCGATGAGTCATTTGGCGACTCCTATGTCACCACTCGGCGGACAAAAGGCTGACTTTGACCGCAGGACTAAAAAGAAACACGAATTGCTTGCGGAGGCCATGAAAGCGGGCACTCCTTTCGCCTTATGGAACGGCCCCACAATTGTCGCGTGGCTTGAGGTCTGCTATAATGATGTGACATAAAGACTAATTGAATACTAATAACTATTTATGATAATGCAGTTATGGGTGGGTATGCCGGCCTGGTATGTGGCCGCCTGTCGCGCTAATGTCAAAAGCGGAGCCATTATGTCGGCCCTATCGGACACTGAGATACAGCGGGAAATAGGAATCAGTAATCCTTTGCATCGAATGAAACTTCGTCTCGCGATCCAAGAGATGGTTGCCCTCACGTCGCCCTCAGCGGCCAAACCCACGCATACGAGTCTGGCTTTCGGCGAAATGAATCACGAATGGATTGGCAACGAATGGCTGCCCGCTCTCGGGTTACCTCAATATAGGTCTATGTTTATGGAGTGCTTAGTCGACGCCAGAATGTTAGACCATTTGACTAAAAAGGACTTAAGAGTTCACTTAAAAATGGTGGACGCCTTCCATCGAACTAGTCTTCAGTACGGAATCAATTGCTTAAAGCGTTTGAATTATGATAAAAGTCTATTCGACGAGAGGAGACGCAACTGTGAGCATGAGATCATTGGTACGTAAACCACACGTCAATTGCCATTAAAGTCAAAACAATTGAACCATTGTTTGCATGCATTGTCTGCTTCATAAAGACGTGATCGTGTGGTCGAACGAGCGTATCATCAAATGGACCACTTCTGTGGGTCTTAAGGAGTATTCTAATAATTTAGTCGAGTCTGGAGTCCACGGCGCCCTCATAGCACTGGACGACACTTTCGATGACTTACAAATGGCATTAGCTCTTCAAATCCCTACACAAAATGTTCAGGTAAGCCATCCCTGTTGTGTTTGCCGTAATAGCTATGCCGCATTTCACTCATCAATATATGATTTGTGTATTCATGAAAAGGCGCGACAAATACTTGAAACAGAATTTGCGGACCTATTACTTAAGGGAACCGATAGAAGGCCTGATGGAGTAAGTGTTCAATTGTTTTACTTGACATCTAACTAATGCTAAGCTGTCTCTTACTTATCGCTTATATGTATAAATTAAAACTAATAGAAATTGAGTTTGTGATTAATTTGTTTATTATGAAAATATTGCATGTGCACAATGTGATGATTACTAATCTGTATAAAATGCAAAATCGTAACCATTTCTACAAATATAGACTTTGCGTGATAAGTATGGGACAGGTTTTGGCCGATTGAATGAAAATATATTTAAATCTAATGGTTTTTAATCGTCAGAATATTTGATGTTTAGGTGAATCGTAACGCAAGTCATGTCTTGTCATCTCATATACAACGCGATCGACTCGTTTGACTGAATGTTGTGAACAAACATTAAATGAATGTGTTTTTGGAGATTATAGTTAACAGACAACAACACTATATGTTCCTCTCATTTATTATTCAATTTATGTATAATGTTTTTCACAGAAATCATGGAAATATAAAAATTTTAGAGTTTATTAATTTTATATAATTTAAATGTTAGCCATTTTTAAACCAATTTTATTATTTTTCTTAACTCTTCACTCACTTCTAGTCATTAATGAATATTTAGTTTAGTTTTGCATTTATTTACAACAAAACGACATTACAATAAAAAATTGAAATTAATTAAAAGATTAATTGCTTTTTAATTACTGTGTACGTAATGTAATAAATGAAATCACGGATTCATTTATTCATTCATCGGTAATATGTTTGGAAAAATTCATTGATCTTTGGCTTAGTTTTGATTGAGATTTGCGCACAAAAACTCATACTCTATTCAATTAACACTTCATTTCTCGCGTTTCATTCGTAGTAGCGTTTATTTGTCACCAATTAATTGAATTATAATTCAATGAAAGCTATAAACTGAACGCATAATGAGATCGAGATTTGAGATTCAGTGAGAATTTCATTTAAAGTAAGATTTATGCGAAAAGTAATAATTCATAAGATGTTCAGAATGAATGCACAGAATATAGCGATTCATAGGAATCATAGCACAGAATATATACAGAATTTGATGTATAGAGAGAATAGCTATACATTACATGTCATCTCACATGTTGTGCACATAATAGAGATTGAGATAATGGGACACAAATCGATAGACACAAGTCGTGGCTTCAGACAGACTCCAAAAGTCTGCACAAATTCATTGATTTTTTTGGTCGGCCATTGTGTGGAAGGCATAACTCGTAGCATAACTGCTCCACAATTATGTGATACTCGTTTCAAACCTGAAACAAATACACGATTCTTTGGATTTGACTAAAATGTGAAGAGTAGTGACACAACCGATATGTCGCTCACAACTGATCTCATCTCCAGAGCCCTTATCTGTACTCGAAGTGCTCGTCGGCGGCGATGTTGACGCCAAGAGTGGGCTTAGAGTATGCATCCGGTCGTCGGTTAAATGCCTCCTTTGGTTAAACTCTGTGTATTAGGGAGTTGTGGTGTCGGCAAAACATCTTTGGTTCAACAGTTCATCGATAATCACTTCGAAGGCACTTATCGACCGACCCCTCAAAGCGGCGATTCCTATAGTTTCTCAATAATCATGAACTCAAACCTCTACCAAATCAAGATCATCGATATGCCAGTCATCAACTACTTCCCCTCCAACACCCTCCTAGAGTGGGTCGACTACCGACAGTGTGCTCTTCGCAACGCCAACGGATACCTCTTTGTCTTCGACCTCACCTCTCCCTATACTTTCCATTACGTTAAAGGTAGTCGTCAACAGTCACCATAGCCGTACAGTCCCATCACCCCACATCACCACCTAGGTCATATTTACATACACTACCCACCTACACTCACACTCATACAGTACATCTACACCTACACCACTCACTATCTAATCCCCAAATATTGAAATATTCTTCGAATATATTAGAATATCATATAAGCGTTAGAATAAGAATATTCTGAAGAATATATTGAAGAATAAATAGAATTCCTTCAGAATATTCATGAATGCAATTCTTTGGATGTATATATAATATTAACCAATTATTTGTATCCCCTTTTATGCCACCCGAATGGACACCGAATGACCGAATGGACAGTAATTCGAGACCAACTGTTCGAAAGTCGAAATATGCAAAACATCCCTGTTTGGATTATTGGCAATAAAGCTGATCTATGTATGAATGTATTGGCAACCATACGAGCGCATAAGGATCACTACCATCACCACCATCACCATCAACATCACCATCACATACACCTTCATCACCACCCGGCTCACGAAGATCTAACGCCAGCGTTCAAAGAGTTGGCGAATTTGGTGCGAAAGCAGTGGAAATGCTCTTACATTGAGTGCTCGGCTAAATACAACTGGCGAGTGGTTCCCATATTCCGCGATATTATCAAGACTATTGAGAATACGCTGATGAATGAGGGCAAAGTGGGTGACCATCACCACCACCGGGACGCCACCAGTGCTGACCACACCGACCAGACAAAGGTGACCTTACCTGATGGCCATTCGTCGGGTGCTGCTGTTAGGCATCTAAACAATTCGACATCGAATGAAAATGTTAGACTCTGTGTTATATTATAATTCAATTGATTTATAAGTTGTATTTCATAAATATTTATTCATATTATCAATATTTCGCATTTTGATGCTTTATTAATAATATTTATAATTATATAATATATTAAATATAAAATTTACGAATAATTCTTGTTTCATTTAATTGTTTTTATTCTTAGAAGCAATAAAAGAAAACAAATTTATTTCAAAACTATTTTCATTGAAAACTTTCTATGCGTCCAAACCATAGTTTGCTTTCGGATAACATTTATAATAACTACAAATGTATATTAAAATATAAGGTATAATTGTTTTCTTTACATTACTTTTAAAATATTCTAACATTTCTCAAAACCTATTTTAAAATGCTTTCTAGAATGCCTTTACAAACATATTCAATATTTACTGAATATTAGCTCAGTTCTCAGTATTGTATATTGAATATAAAGTAGTCTTCAAAACCATCTTACCACATATTAGAACTCTGTTATCAAGGTAATAAATATTTTAAAAAACATAATTCTCTAGAAATTAACTTATATATGAAACCAACTTAATTTACTTGTGTTGGTACGATAAAAATTTAGGGGGTGTCTAAATATGTTACTAATTAGTTTCTAATTTGTAATTAATTTTCTATACCTATGTTTCATATCAGAATTTGAATGCATTTGTTCAGGCTTTCGCATATTAAAGATAGGCTTTAATCAAGTATAGGTGCATAATAATTAAATAATCATATTCTTTAAATCTTCATTAAATATACCTCTCAAATCTAAATGCTTTTATTCAGTTCCCAAATAATAAATATTTAGCCTTAAAAATCGTTACAAACCGTGTCATGTAGTTTTGTAAAAGACTTTCAGACTATTTACTTAATAGCTTATATTAATATTTATTTTTATAATTTACAATTGTTGTGACTTTAATTGAATATCGAGCTATTTTTTGCTTCAATTTTGACACATTTCTGCACACAAAACAGGAATAATATTTTATTCTAGACCTTAATTTTTATATAAGACTTACTATATACTGTATTTATAACACATTTTATTATAAACTATTCAATTAATAAAAACATCAGAATACATATTTAATCATTTCAATTAACTTTATCTTAAAATTACCGCGGATTCTTGGAAATAAAATATGAAAGATTAAAAAAATATTTATATAAAATGAATAATTTACAAGTTTAAATTAATTATAAATTATGTTATTTAAATGTTTTATTTTATAGTTTTAGAGCTTTGTTAAAAGGTTATTAAAAAATAACAATAATTAAATTTAAAAATTAAATGATAACATCAGCATTAACAAATGGTTGATTACATGAAATATAAAATGATAATAAATTACTTAAACAGCTATGAAATCCTTATCTGTCTCAATTGGTGACCATTTTTCATATAAAACTAAATTATATTTTTTAGTTAAACTCTTTTCTATCGATTTCTTTCTCCAATTAGTATTTGTTAAAAAAATTGAAAGTCTGAGCAAATTATTGGCGATAAAAGCAAAAACAAAAAATATGTACAAATAATTAAATGTAATTCTAAGAGAATAGTAACAAATAGTAGATAAGAAATTGAGATGAATTTCTCTCTGAACATCGATGACTTCAAACAAGTATTTAGTGATCCCGTCGTAAGTCAATAATCGGACAAAAGTCTTGATGGCATTCACTATTCCTCGACTCATTTCGATGGCATCTCTTTCAGGCGATTCAATGATTGATTTCTTAAATTTTTTCTCTAATATAAGTTCACACATCTCTTTCGTCTCATCGATACTTCCATCGCAGAGATTATATTTGTCTTCAATTCCCAATAAATATCCAATAAATCTCCAGAAGTGTAGCATTGCTTCCATATCTTGCGGTGATTTAGAAAATCCCATTTGTTTTGGATAGAGAACAATGAATCCAATAAATGCAAACTATTATCAAATTAAATGATTAGGCCCCAAACTATTCAGTATATAATATTGAGTAAATCTACAATATACCTGGGTTACAGTCATATCAAACTGAGATAAACTCATTTCTTCTGCCATCTCTTCTTTTCCTTTATTTAAATCTTTTGATACTTTTGTATGCATTTTGCGAACCTTTGAATAAAATTTTATAAAATTAATATATTATTACCATTATATCATTTATATTTAATTCTAAATAGTTTCAGCATTTTTATTAAATTGTTAAAGTTACCATTAGTTAAATTAAACTATCGTGATAAATTTTAAAAAAGTATTTATAATTACTAGTATTACTATTTCAATTACACAGGATAATTATTCTTTAATTCTGTTTAAAATATTTAACAAATAATAGCTTTAAATAAGTTGTAAATTATTCTTGAAAAGTGACATTCATTTGTTAACTATACGAAAATATAGCATACATTTGTAATAATAATTATTTCTAATAATGAGAGATTTCACTGAGAGACTCAAAAATATAATGATTCAGTTTGTATTGTAAGTACAGTACGTGTTATTGCATAAGAATAGCATCGATAGGAGAGTAATCCTTCCGGATAGTCATCATGAGATGCCATACCTGAACAACCGACTGATGGCTTTGATGGTTAGGGTAAGTTTGTATTGTAAGTACAGTACGTGTTATTGCATAAGAATAGCATCGATAGGAGAGTAATCCTTCCGGATAGTCATCATGAGATGCCATACCTGAACAACCGACTGATGGCTTTGATGGTTAGGGTCCCAAATGTCTCCCTCATACCAACTCTTCACCCGAACTAATGTTCGCAAATAACGACCGAACAGATGGGCAACACTTCTTGAATTACCAGTTGATATGAGAGGTATTAGAATAGACTTAATGTGAACCAGAAGTATGAGTCCCGACAAGTGTGCAAAAAAGACACCAAAGAAATGATTTTTGGCCAAAGACTGGGCGCGTCTGATCTTGTCTTTGTCCAGCCATTGAGGAACTGATGTCTTATCCGAGATGTCATTCTTCTCACACAACACTTTTGAGCCGATTTGCTCGAAATGGTCGAAACGGTTGTTCATCGTAAGGCAAACTTACATAACTGTAAACGCAATGCAAGTTTGAAGACTCAGACAAAACTTTAAGTTTGTTGACCTCACGAGTTATGACCCAATGAACTAACTTTACAACAGGTATCAGACATTATAATAGCAGTAATTTTTTTCTATTTTTAAAAATCCGGTAATCTTGAAGACAACAAATTTGAACATATATTTTAAGCACTAATTAAAGGCAAATATTTTTCGAGTAAAACGGATATGTTTTACCGATTGTAAGCAATATTAATGAAGCAATATTTAAAGTAATGCCTAGTTGTTATTTTAAATGTGTAATAAATTAAAAGATTTCAAATGCATTGCAGTAGGAACTGGTTTTCATTGAAGTTTTTCATTCATATATTGAGACAATTCCTTAAATAAAAGAATTATCGATGCATTCAATTAAAACACATTTAAATGTGTTTTCAGATTTGTTGGATATATTTATATTTTTATGTTTTATAGCATTGAAAAAAACATTTAATAACAACATTTCTTTATTTATTTCATTTCATTATTAAATTTGTAAAACTTTTGAGAAAATATTTTTTCGTGTATTTGCAAAATATGAACAAATAATATGAAATGTATTATGATATCTGTTTGTTAAATCATATTTTACATTGTAATCGGAAGTACAGGAATCATAACTTCATTGTGTATTTTGTATCACCACATCATCTCAAACATTACTCACTAAATCACACATTCATGAAACAATAATTTTTTTATTAATATTAGAAAATTATAATTACAGAAAAGAAGTTATTTCATTATGAAAGGTTCATGATCATTTAAGATGTTTATAACAAAATATTCATCTTTCTGTCTCTACATTAATATCAGAAGTCTTCTAAAAGTTACCAATTTTATTATTTTAAGGTTTATTTCAGAATTGTATTAAGATACAATATCATTAAACATATGAATCAAAATATCAAATAGAGGCCTATTTCTGAAACTGAGTAATGCATTGGTTTTCACATTTAACATATAATTTTCAATATAAATTAGTAGTAAGAAATAAGAAATAAGCCACTATTTGATATTTTGATTCATATATATTAATAATCAAATTATAATTTAAAGTAAAGAAAAATATATTTTATAAATGTCTCATAAATATACTGAAGTATATACTGAAATATAATGAATATGGGACAATCTTTGTTTAAACTATAAGTCATTCATGCTATACCTTTAAGGTACTGATTAAATATAGATATATTTAAAATAAATTCATATTAATCAACACTATTTTCATTTGTAACAAATTCATTAGTAGTAAAATGGGATAATTTTTAAATTCCGTAACAGATTTGTAATGATTTTAAGTAATTGCACCAAGTTCCATTATAACTTCCATAGTTTCGCCATCAAACATTTAATCTAATTAATAAAAATTATTTATGTGCAAGTATAATTTGTTATTAAACCCTAATTTGTATTAATAAAAGGAGTCTTTTACATGATATTGATTATCTTAAGAATGCAAATTAATATACTGTATGCTAGAACATTTGTTCAAAAGAATATATTATATAATTTTTATAATAATACTTTGTTGCATATAAAATATCAAATAAAATCCATTAAAATATAAGATATTTCTACAAATATAGGATTGGAGTGGAACTGGTCCTGATACTAATACTATGATACTATGATACTATGATACTATGATACTGTTAATACTATGATTCAAATTGTAGTATTAATACATTTAACTTTACGTTGAAAATATAGTGCTACAGATAAATATATCATACTTTACTGAATGAAACGGCATATCGTAATAATAAGTCATATCATATGTGAACGGTTTTGTGGAAACATATGATTTTGATGTAAATATTTATTTGTATTGTAATCACAATTAAGTGACAAATGATTACATGTTTTGACAAAAATGTGATTTAATGAACACTTTTAGTGCAGTCCTTATAAACACATGTCTATTATAATGCACGAAACTCGTGATTGTGTGGATTGTCTGTGAATTGGTGCTCGTGGACGGTGTGGCCAAGTGGAGGAATGGGGTCGCAATCGGTGTCGATCCTGACATCGGGTGTGTGGGCGAGTCTGACCGGCGGATGGTTCTTCGACGCCAAACAGAGCCACTTCTCTAATGTCTTTCATCTCTACGTATGGCTCGTCTTCCTGTGCCTCCCATTCGTCATCCAATTGATGGCCACCTCTTGGAAGCCATGGATCGCCTACTGTGTCATTATAGCCGTCATATTCACCACAATTAAGCTGATGAACGCATATCTTCACCGACTCTTTGATTTCGGCGAATGTGTTGTCGAAGAGAATTCAGTCAACTCTAAGGTATGTCTTGGCGTCCAGTTTACCACTCATTCACTCAAATGACAGTTTGTGTGACAATCAACTCATCTGTGGTTTGGTTTCGCATTCTTTAGGAACAATCAGATGACGAGAATTTCTTGAATCAAATGAAAGGCTTTGAAGGAAACGATAATTCGATGAAAAACAACGAAATGAAGGAAAACATCGAAATGATTGTCATCGCAGACAACACTAATGGCAACGATTCCACAAGAAGTGACTCTTTGGCCCTCTTTCACAACAACTTAAGCAATAGTAATATCAATGACAACAACAGCAATGATTGCATCGAAAGGATGGCCGCAACCAACGCCACGTCGAGTGTCATCGATCTCGAGGTCGACGTTCACCACAGAAACAGTTCCGGTTCTTCTATTGGCATCTCTTCGGAACCCTCTAAGAGTCACAGCGAAGCCATCAACACGTCAGAGATGGCGGTCACCAACAAAAGCAGTTCATTGATAGCACCGGAAGTGATGTTAGACGAGACGTCCTTCGGGTCCGAAGTGATGGGAAGCGAATTCATGTCTCTTCTGAACGCTGGAAGTGATGTGAATATAACGAACACAACGAATGAAACCGAAAGTTCTGACGGATTAATGAAGGGGTCATCCCTTGAGTTGGGATTCATGGCTCAGGACCCGGCAGTGCTCAGGGCTCAGACCAACCCCTCCAATGAGGGCCAATCGGGTCGCAAACGGATCGACAATATTGTTCGCAGAGCTCGCAGTGAATTAGAGACAACTCAGTGCTCGACAGACAGAGACAGGTTATCATCCCTTCCGCCATCACATCCCGTTAGTCTTGAGATAATTGGAACCACAAGATTAGACAGTGATTCAGTTGATGTGTCCAACAATGACAGCGAGAGTCTCTTGAGACGAACGACGCCTAATCTGAACGAAAAGATATCAATATTTAATCCCCAGAACAACGATAGCATCAAAACCACAAACAGTCCTAAACTGAAAGCCACTAAATTTGAGACAATAAGCAGTTCTCCCGTTCTTTCAGAACAAACGGTCAAAGGTTTGGCCGAAAAAGAGTCACACATTTTCATTGAAGTCGAGCCGTCGCCTCAGCCCAAGAAAGCGAAGACCAGTGACTGCGATGACGGCGACGAAAGCGATGTCTCTCTTGTCGTCAACTTTTCGACGAAAGTTAAGAAACGAAAGGTTCAGAAGTCGTCGAAACCGCGAAGAACTCTAAACAGAAGAAAAGTGTCGAAGTCTTGTAGTTCTGGAAAGATTTCTATGAATAAAAAATGTGATAAAGTTTTGCAATTCATGGATAACACCATTTCGAGCAATGAGTTGAACAAAAAATCTCTTCAAAACTTTTCGAGTGAATCAGACATTGAAAGCAGTCATAATGGAAGTGATTCGTATACATCCCGAAGCAGTTCTCTCACTTCAAGTCATTCTTCAATCTCTTTGAACGACGAGACGACACCATTGACCGCTTCAGTGGCTCCAGAAATGGATAATAAGAGCAATGCTTCCAATTCTCGCAAGAATTCAATGGCATTGGAACCCAAATGCATTGCCGGCCCTTCCAAACAACACACTTCTTATGAATCAAAGAGCGATTTAATCAAAAAGATTTCCGAAATTCCCTCCAAATCTGATGGTAAAGACTTTATGCAGAACAACGATCTGAAAATTTTGAGAAATGAATTACAGAGACGCCGTAAGAGCTCCAAAAGAGGTGATCCCAGTACTAGCGCTTATTCACAGCAAAGTATAGCGCAGTCCGAACCCAATAACGACATTATCGCCGGCGCTTCACTTATAAGTGGTTTGGAATCGTCACAAAACATTAGTGCAGATAACGGTCCACCGCCTTACATGTTGGCGCGCATACTGTCGGCACCGGGAACTCATTTGGCTAAATCACACGAAGACACGAATATCGGAGCCGTTCATGTATTCCAAGACGAACGCGGAAATTGGTTGACATATACTTTCGATGATAACAGCAGTGGTGTCGCCCGCGGACTCATGAATAGTGATAAGGCTTTGCTTGACATTGAACTCTACAGTGCGATGAGAGCACAGGCGGCACATCACAAGTGGAACTCGTCTTCGTGCTCATCGTCGGGATCGACAGTAGTGTTGGACAGTCCGGCCAATGTCTTACATACACCCAAATTACTAGAGACTAGTCTTTTGCGACAACAGTTTAATGACACAACTCATGACTACAGTCGAGCTCTTCAGCCAAACGCCAGTTCATTATTCGCCGATTCATTTCCCAGTCAGTCATACATTGTTTTGTGTCTTATAACAGGTATTTAAATGATTTCAATTTTATTCACTGATAACAGTCACAGCATTTCCGCGAACCCGTGGCTCAAGACGTCTAGACTTAGCGACTAGTATTCTGTTTAATCAGAACACAGGGACAGGACTTAACGCCAACAATATGTCAGATATGTATCCCTTAAGATTCGGGGAGTTTTCATCACCCGTCCCGACACATAAGCCCTCGCAGTACTACAAACTCTGGATCTTTCCGTTCAAACCAATCAAAGTACGCTTCGATCGCTTGACTCTATTAGCTCTTCTCGATAGAAGTCTAACGGCTTTTGAATTGATTACTTCAATACTGTTGGCTGTAATGGTTGCCGTTTTTGGCTCAATACTACTCTATAAGAACTTCTTTCACGACTTGTGGTTAATTGTCTTCTGTTTAGTGATCGCGAGCTCTCAATACACTCTTTTAAAGGTATTGTCAATATTTGAGTTGAATTGATGTAATGAATAGATGTATTGATGGATGACTTATCCCACAGAGTGTACAGCCGGACGCATCGTCGCCAACACACGGCTATAATCGGGTGACGCTATACAGTAGACCCGTTTACTTCTGTATCGCCAGTTCTATACTACTTCTGAGTCAGAATTATATGGAAAATACGAACAAAAATATTTCATTTGTTGTCTATAACATCGATTTATTTCATGAGAATATTATTGCATTCATCCGAAACTCAAGTCTTATATTTTTGTTGAGTTTTCCACTTCTATTCAGTTTTGGACTTTTGCCGCAAATCAGTACTTTTCTAATGTATTTGTTCGAACAAATCGATATTAACTTATTGGGCGGTACGGCCGCCACAATGGGTCTCATTTCTGCCACTTATAGTCTTATAAGAAGTATTTTTGCCGTTTGTCTCCTCTATTCGTTTGCTTTGATTGCACTCATGGCTAATAATAGCACACAAACGGCTACTTTCTCTGTGTTTTGCGGTCTCTTACTGTCCACTTGTTATCATTTGAGCCGAAGTTCTAGCGATCCCTCCATTTACTGGAATCTTATAAAGAAATGTTTTACGTGTAAGGCTTCTAAACTTAATTTCAAACTCAAATCCGAAACTCAGAGCTTGACTCAAGTGAATAACGATGACACGGATTCCAGTGATAAACAGGAACAGGACATCACTGATCCCTTACCCAAAAAGTTGGAAAATACTGTTGTAAGACATGAATTCTTATTCGCAAATTCTAAAACAAATGACTAATTTGTTTGCATTACTTTTAAGATAATGAGATTACAATCGGACTTAATTATATGTGTATTCATAACAATCGTTGTGTTTGCCACTCATGTCAGCACTATTTTCACACTTCAGGTAAATCTTGGAATTTACTGTACTTTCGATGATTCCTGTATTTATTATTGATTTATATTCCAGCCATACGTTGAGATTTGTTTAGTTCTGTGGGCTATTATATGGGGTTTTATATTGCATTATATATTAAACCATTTCCGTAAACAACTTCCGTGGCTATGTTTAGCACATCCAGTCTTTAGATCAAAAGAATACAATCAGTTTGAAGTGAAAGGTAAGCCTTTATAGTGTACAGTACTGAATGGCGAGCATTCATTGAACTCTTGTTTGGATGATCGACAGGACCCGCCAAAGTGATGTGGTTTGAGAAACTTCACGCTTGGCTTTGGCTCATTGAGAAGAATATCATATATCCATTAGTCTTCTTAAGTGCCATCACTAATGACGGTCCGATTCTGCTCACAAAATATGGACTTTAGTTAGTATCGAAACTTTTAAAGTATTGGTCGCATCTTAATGTGAATTTGTGTTACAGTTTAGGGACTCTAATAGTAGTGGTGACTGGTTTCAAATGCTTGAGAAGCTCTTTCAACGACTCGTCACACAATCATATTATACTTCTCTTCACTTATTTATTCTTCAATTTCGATCTGAGAACCCATTCCGAGCCCTTTCTACTGAATTACTTCATTCTTTCCATCATTTATTATAAGGTACGGTATATTTCATAAACACCACACATTCGTAACTCATACCTAATTGATGTCCAGTTTTACGAGTTGTTATTGAAAGTCCGATTTGTGGTCACATATGTGGCGCCCTGGCAGATCACTTGGGGCAGTGCCTTCCATGCATTCGCACAACCATTCAGTGTTCCTCGTATGTCATTCCCTTATAATACAATCCCGTTAGCTATCGGTTACCTAAACTAATGTAAATTATATCTTATATTTGCAAAGACTCTGCAATGCTCTTCGTTCAGGCGCTCATCTCATCGATACTATCGGCGCCGTTGCAGCCAATCCTCGGCAGCGCTATATTCTTTGCCTCATATGTCAGACCTATTAAATTCTGGGAAAGGGATTATAAGTAAGTTTTACTTACATATTGTTTGATGTTTAGTAGACAATACTGTTAACATTTGTTTGAAATCAGTACTAAACGTGTGGATCATTCAAACACTCGATTGGCGTCCCAACTGGAAAGGAGTCAATTGGGAGCCGATGATAATAACCTGAACTCAATATTTTATGAACATTTGACTCGTTCTCTCCAACACTCACTCTATGGCGACCTATTGTTGGGTCGATGGGGACCGGTATCACAGGGCGATTGCTTTGTGTTGGCCAGCGATAACTTAAACTGTTTGGTGCATCTCATCGAATTGGGCAACGGTTTGGTCACATTCCAAGTGCGAGGTCTTGAGTTTAGGGGCACTTATTGTCAACAAAGAGAAGTTGAGGCCATCAGTGAAGGTGTCAGTGAAGACAACGGCTGTTGTTGTTGTGAACCCGGTTTGTCTTATATTGTCTCAATGGTATTGAAATGAGTTATTTAATGGATTGTATTTCAGGTCACATCCCAGGAATGCTGTCCGTAAACGCGGCGTTCAATCAGCGGTGGTTATCGTGGGAAGTGACACATATTAACTATGTTCTCGAGGGCTACTCCATTAGTGACAACTCAGCGCTAACTATGTTACAGCCCTATGACCTCAGAAAAGCTCTTATTATTTATTACATCAAATCTATTATTTATTATTGCATTACTTCTAAAAGTCTTGAGAAATGGATTACTAATCCAGAGATCAAAGAAGCGATTGGTGTTATGAAAGACCAGAACTCTGTAGAACTCGACCCCATCTTCAACGCCAGTGTCGACGAAGACTATGACTTCCGGAGTTCGGGAATCACGCGCTCGAGTTTCTGCAGTGTTTATAGCGATTGGATTCACTATTGTTTGAGAGAAATGACTAAAACATCGAAACCTGACTTCGATGTCGACGAAGAGAAGGAGAGCTTAATTGTGTCGTTATGTCTAAGTCTGAGTCTATTGGCCAGACGTGCTCTCAGTGCTGCCTCTCATCACAACTCATTCACGAGCGTTGAGTTCTTGTTGTTTGGATTACACGCTCTCTTCAAAGGAGACTTTCGTATCACTTCTCCAAAGGATGAGTGGGTTTTCCAAGATATGGATCTCTTGCATAAAGTGATCGCACCGGCAGGTAATTCAGTATTAGTTTTGTATAAATGGGATTAGTATTGATATAACAAATCATTTGGCCGACAGTGCGAATGGCCCTTAAGCTACATCAGGACCACTTCATGTCTACTGAGGAGTACGACGACAACCCAACCCTTTTTGATGCCATCAATAACTACCAGAAAAATCTGGTCATCTCGCATGAGGCAGACCCTGTCTGGAGGAATGCCGTCCTTTCCAATGTTCCCTCACTGTTGGCGTTAAGACATGTGTTCGATGACGGCGCCGATCAGTACAAGATTATTATGTTGAACAGGAGATACCTCTCCTTCAGAGTCATTAAGGTTTGCCATCATTTCTCTTATCAGTAATTTCTCTAATATTGTGTTGAAATGATAGGTAAACAGAGAATGTGTGAGAGGATTGTGGGCCGGACAGCAACAAGAGTTGATTTATCTCCGGTTTGTCGCAAACTATTTATTTAAAAACCAATCAATCTTTTCATTCAATGGTTTCTCTATTTTCTAAGGAATCGTAATCCAGAGCGCGGTTCCATTCAAAACGCTAAACAGGCGCTCAGGTATGCCATCGCTATTAGGTTTATATAAGTGAACCAAATTTATACGTTTATTCAATTATTTCAGAAATATAATCAACTCGTCGTGCGATCAACCCATCGGTTATCCCATATATGTCTCCCCTCTGACCACTTCCTTCGCAGAAACCAATGACAACATGAATCGAGTCATCGGTTATCCTATAACTCTTGGAATGTTTAAGAGGGCTTTACTCAGGTGTTGGAATCGGTAGGCATTCAGTCATTGCATACATTTATACAGATTTCTAATGCATTGTAATCTATGACAGGATGAGAACCCGTTGTGGCGAAGGCTGTTCCAGTGGTGGCACTGGTCTTAACGCAGACTTCGCTGAACTCTCCTCATCGACCACTTCGTGTCGTAGAGTCGAGTCGATTGCACTCGAAAGAGGTGTTGTGTTCGCCATATATTGCCATATATTTGACAATTGACTAATGGTTTCATTGAATGTCCGTTTAGTCCGGACTTCCAATTATAGCGAGTCTTCGAGTGAATACGATTCGAGTCGTTCGCGTGAAATGATTTACCGCCGGTCGCGGACACAACCGCATCCCATGTCATACCATCACTTCAAGTATTCCGACAGTAAGTCCAGTGCCAGACAGGCGGCCACTCTCGTCAACTTAACGGCGTTGAGATCCGTTCCGCCATCCAATC